AAAATCCAAAGCAAAGGATCCTTCAGGGATGGGATTCTCATTGAAATATAAGCTTCAGTTCCTTTTTGAAGTTGTTGCTGATAAAGATGGATCATCAGTTAATTTGACAAGCTGAGGGATAACTTGAAAAATGAAATTGGACAAGATTACAAATGATATTGTGTAATGCATTTCCAAAACTTGCTTCACAAAGCCAGGTTCTTTTATACAACATGCGAGTCATTGGTCCTTAATTCATTTCACTTTATTTATGTTCCTGTACAGACTATGTGTGAAGTAGGTGCCTGGTAATCATTATCAAATATACTATTGTGGTCTGAAATATCACTCTCTGAGGATGAGCTTGCCTCTGAAGATTAGTGCAGGGGCAAGAGTCCTTTGTAAAATGCCATTTAACATTTTAAATGTCTATTTTAAAAGTGAGCAAATGTGAAGTTTGGTCTCCAGATTAATATCTGAAAGCTAGCTATTTAATAAAGCTTTAATTATTTAAGGCTGATAGGCCAGTTGAATTAGTAAAAGAAGGAAGTTTATAAATTATTGAAATTAACAATACTAAAGTATCATAAGCCTATATAGTGGACTTTTCTTCCAAGTTCAAGTGCTGTGATTTAATTGTTATTTTTTAATTATTTTCTCATGCATGCTAACTTACAAAGCTGAGATAAAACTAATTTGTAGATGTTTTAACTCTAAGGTTTTTAGTGTGTAAAACTAACTTCCCATGGCAGATATACATTAGGCGAAAGAGAAGACCTTCCCATGATAACGTAGACTTCTTGGCCTTGAAACACACACACACACACACACACACACACACACACACACACACAACAACAATGCTTTTGATTTGGCTTCACAAGGAACACATTTCTTGTCTTCTAGTGTTGAACCAGCCACACCAAGTAATTTTCAGTCCGAATAGCCTTCTTTGGACCAGTTATGTGTTTGTTAAAATTTATCTTGGGATTAAGGATATCGTGTATTGCCCTGAAACATATTTGCCTGGGGAAGACAACGGAAATTTATAGCAATAACAATAAGTAAGAACAGGAGCTCACATGCCTTGAGGTCATACCAAAACTTAACAGTCTACATGCTTTACCTCTCTGTCTTCTCTGGGGACTGCCCAGCCCAGTACAGCCTCTTTTGTATGGTGATTATATATTTAAAATATCATTTTATTTGAGTAAAATATTAAATAATTTAGATTTTCTTTTTCTCTTAGTATGTTAAAACATGGGTATGTCTTTTTATTTTTAAAAAATATATTTTTGAAGCAGTTTTAGGTTCACACCAAAATTGAGTGGAAAGTACAGAGAGTTCTCATATACTCCTTGCCCAACCCACTCCACCCACCCAAGCCTTTCCTACTGTCAGCATCTCTCACCAGAGTGGTATGTTTGTTACAATTGATGAACCTGCATTGGCACATCATTATTGTCCAAAGTTCATTGTTTACATTAGGGTTCGTGCTTGGTGTTATAAATTTCTTTTAAAAGATGTGGTTTTGCACTATTAGTATCGAGGGTTCAAGGTTTGTCCAGAGCTGCCAATGACAGTGTCTAGGTTAGGAATAAATACTTGAATAAATGACGGAACACATGCAGAACATTTTTTCTCTCTCCAGGTTGTGTGCCAGAAATCAAAATAGAAGACACAGTATTAGTAAAATAAATAATGATGATAGAGGAAGCTTCTGTTTTTGAGTATTGTACGTGAATGGTGATTGATGTAAAGGAGATAATTCTGTTTATTTCTGGTCTTACTGAGGGATGAAGAAGAATTTATTCCTAAATTATACTTGTGCTTTTAATATATAAAATGCTCATAAATTAATTTAGTAAGCTTTGGATTTGATTATTTGATAAGATGGGCTACTTGCATGGTTCAGTATTTTTTACATATTTCCTCATCTTTCGTGGTTCTTTTATTCTTATACAGAGAAGATATAAGACCACATCTACTTATTATTTAATTATAAGTGATGTTTTACAATATGCTCATGTCTTTTTACCCTAAAACTTCATTTTTTGTAATAATAATAGGGAGATATTCCTAAAGAAATATTTTTCAAAGCTCAATTATGCCCTTTGTGGTGTTATTTATAAAAGCTGAAATCTTAAACAATACAATTTTTTTTCAGATTAGCAGTGTCACAATGAGTGATTAAGGGGGAGGAGTTGTCTCATTCCTGTTTTTAATCACAGGAAAGGAAGCTTGTAGGGGAAAGAATGGAATTTAAGAGGCAGAACCAGCTGTTCTTTGCTCAGATCTTGAAATTGCCAATATTGTTAGTTGGTTTTCTCTGGATTTTTGAGGCATAGATATTAAGGGGCCTTGTGTTGAAAGTAATTGTCATCTGTCATCAGACTGAGATCTGGAGCTAGTACTGGTCTCATAGTCAAAGGAAGATAGGTCAAAGTTGAGGAAGACGTGCCAGATGACAGCAGACCCTTTTCTCATTCAAGGAATAGACTAAGCCCTGCCCAACATGGTCAGAAGGTCCCTAGATATGTATTTCCCACTGTGCCAGATGACAGCAGACCCTTTTCTCATTCAAGGAATAGACTAAGCCCTGCCCAACATGGTCAGAAGGTCCCTAGATATGTATTTCCCACTGTGCCAGATGACAGCAGACCCTTTTCTCATTCAAGGAATAGACTAAGCCCTGCCCAACATGGTCAGGAGGTCCCTAGATATGTATTTCCCACTGTGCCAGATGACAGCAGACCCTTTTCTCATTCAAGGAATAGACTAAGCCCTGCCCAACATGGTCAGGAGGTCCCTAGATATGTATTTCCCACTGGGGACCTTAAATGAATGGCATTCAGTAAATTTATTGATTTGCTATGGTTTATTGGGCCTTGATCTAAGGCATGAGATTTGGAGGACAATGCTTGATTCTGAATATTTTTACTCACACTCCTCCAAATGTCCTAAATCCAACAGAGAGAGCAAATAAAACACACATAATCCACAAATTCAAGAGCATTAGGAAACAGCAATAAGCCTGTGGTTACAGAGAGTGGTGCAGGGGTGGCTTACAAAAAGGTTTCAGAGACTGTAAAAAAAGTAGAGAGACATGGAAGACTTAGACAAAGCGTGGAGAAAATCACTCCAGAAAGAGAAAGCTGGGACTTCATATAGCTCACAGAACTGTCTACAGGAATGGAGATCAAAAGTGAGAGGGACCAAAACTGGCAGCCATTGAAAAACATTGCTTCTGGGAGAGACTCAGTTACATAGAGAAAGGATGCTACCCTCATAAAGACATGACAGTGAAAGTAGAGAGGGAAAGAAAAGGGAGAAATTAAGGGCCCTATACAAACAAGAAAGAAGACACACTAAACCGTCCCCTTTGATCCCACTAGCACCATCCATAAAAGCTGCATAGAAGAGGGAGAAACTGATTGAAAAGGGTCCTCAAGCTAAGAGCCCAGGCCATTGAGTGAATAGTAATCAAACAAAGTGGCCCACATCGCTGCAACTGCTGTAAAGCATCAGAAAATGTAAATCAGTGTTTCTGCTGATAAAAATGCTTTTTAGAAAATCATCATGAAATTAAATTGTACACAACACTATAATCTAAGTTGTTTTAATTTAGGCACTTGTGTACGTGAAACAAACAAAACCCACCTTAAACTGGAAATACAAATTCTTACAAGAGAAATGAACAAAAGTCAAAATGAAATGACATTAGAGTTAATAGAAGTCCTGGGAAATACAGAAGAAAAGACAAAATCAAATCAGAAATGACTAAATCACATGGTGTCCAAGAAAAAATAAATCCAAATGACAGGTGACCCAATTTATTAACATTTACATTCAATTTAACTATCAGTTAAAAGTTAGATATTGGCAGAATGGATTAAAAAAACACATAACCGAACAATATGCTGTCTATAAGAAATTCACTTCAAATGTAACAATATTGGTAGACCTAAAGCAAAACGATGTAAAAACATACACAATGTAAACACTAATCAAATGCAAGCTGGAGTAGCTATATTAACATCAGACAGACTTCAGAGTAAAGAAAGTTACCAGGGACAAAGACATTATATTTTGATAAAGGGACCAATTCACAAAGAAAACATAGCAGTACTTGATGTATGTATGTATAGTAAACAACAAAGCTTCAAAATACACAAAGCAAAAACTGGTAGAATTGATTTTTTATTTTATTTTATTTTTTAAATATACCTTTATTGATTTCAGAGAGAGGAAAGGAGAGGGAGAGAGCGAGAGATAGAAACATCAATGATGAGAGAGTCATTGATCGAGCCCGCAACCCTGGCCTGTGCCCTGACCGGGAATCAAACCCTGATCGCCTGGATCCTAGGTCGACGCTCAACCACTGAGCCACACCCGGCCGGGCAAAAACTGGTAGAATTTAAATGAGAAATTGAAAAATTCCAAATTACAGTTGGGGATGTCAACACTCCTCTCTTAGTCATTGATAGAAACTGCCAACCGGCAAGATCTAATTGTCATTTATAGAGCTCTCTAACCAACATCAGCAAAATATATAGGGTGGGGCAAAAATAGGTTTACAGTTGTTTGTATGGAAAATAATACAATAATTAATAAATAATAATACAAGAATAAGCTCTGTGATTCGAATACTCACAACTGTAAACCTACTTTTGCCCAACTGTGTACATTGCATATATTTAGCACATATACCAAGACAAACCAGATCCTGGCTCATAAAACAAACCTTAACAAATGTAAAGGAGTTGATATCACACCAAGTATACTCTCTGACTGTGATGGAATCTAACTAGAGATTAATAACAAATAACTGGGGGTATGGGGTATGGTGGAGCTTCATCTAAACAAAAACCTAGTTCCTCTGCCTTTGATTCTGAATTGTTATTGGCTTGGAAAATCGGAAAATAGGTACATTTTATCTGACAATGTCCCAAAATGATAATGAAAGATATCAGTTGATTGTTACCCATGATCAATTGTCTCTCTGTCCACTTTATTTGCAGCCTCTCTGTTGAAAGGACTAAAGCATGCTAACATAGTGTTGCTTCATGATATCATCCACACCAAGGAGACGCTGACACTCGTGTTTGAATATGTGGTGAGTAAAATAAGAATTCAGATTTTAATGGACATGAGTAAAAATCTTATAGTATGATCATAGAGTTTGATTTTTAGGTTGCTATACTGAAATGAGTATTTTACCTGAATACATGAGACTTAATTTTGCATAATTTTGAATGATATACATCTTAAAGAAAAATCCTTAAAAATATTAATTTGAATTTTCATTAGATATATATATCTATAACCTATTTGCTACTACAATACACTATAATTTTTAGGTTTATCAAATAGTATTAAACAGCATGATGGTGATTATTCCAGCAAAGGAAGTTCACAGACAATAAAAGTGGGTTTTTTTGATGCAGGAGGGGATTTTTAACTTATTTTTTCAAAGGCATCCATATTTAGATTTTTTTTTTTTTTTTGGTGGAGCAGAGCCTGATACCTACAATTTAGACTTCATAGTTTTTCCCCTCACTTGGTATTTCAGCTATTAATTAAAACTTCCAATATGCATAATACAATGTAATGATCTTATTGTGTTGAGCGTATTACTGCTAGAAGACTTGGACTTGAACTCATAATTAATCTTTCTTCGTTTCTCTTAGAAAAACATATGGTATTTGTGTAGCCCCACTTCAGCATTTAACTGTGGAATCATGAAATGTAACCATGATAATTAGCATCTCAATTTTCACAGATGGATCTGAGAACATGTAATTTATAAGATACAAATGACATTGGTGGAGACTTTTATTGAGAAGACTAGCTGTTGGTATTGTAAATGTATTAAGATCCCACTTGTAATTACCACACTGCTTTTTTAAAAATTTGAAATAGTTTTCAATTTTCCTTAAATATATATAATAGAATGAATATTTGCAACATTTTTATCTTGCTAATGTCTGCCTGTATCTATTTGTCATATGAAAATTATTGTCTTATGACGAAGCCATTCATCTTGTCTATTTACATATAAATGATAGATACATTTGAATAATATGGTAATGTGGCTACAAGGACAGCTAGAGCTGAGCAGTTGAATATATTACATGCTACCAAGAATGGATGGAGATTCACACGTTAATGCAAATATCATTTCCTTTGTTTAATCGATGATGTTGGCATCAATAATGTATTCAGCTGGTTTAGAACTGGAATTTTTGTTTCATATTTTTCAGTATGTCTGGTTGCAGCATTTCAATTAAATCTAGTTTTTTTCTTAGTATATGACTGACTTTTGTAATGTTTTGTGGAAAAGATACTTCAAAAATATACTTGTTCCCTCTCCCAAAATTGGATAATTAAATTAAAAAGAAGAAAAGCAGTTTGACCCCCTAAAATCGGTAACAGTGATAAACTAACAAAAATAATGTTAAAATATGTCCTCTAAATCTTAAAAGAAAATTAAATATATTTGTGAGGCTAAAAATGTGCCTAATAGGTCAGATGTCATTTGATGCTTTTCCTGTGGAAGTTGTCATATAAAAAAAAAGAAATTCTCTGTCTTGCAATATTTGCTAGCTTATGAAGACCAAGGTTTAAACAATCATTCCTTTTTGTGTGAGTGAAATTTCCTGTGGCTCCAACTCTTGTGGATACATCCCAGGTCCTCTTAAATCAGCCACATGGTGACGTGCCCCTGCGCAGTACTCTCCTGACAGCATTTCACCCCTAACTTCTCTGTGGGAGGTGAGGCTTAGATGAACCTGTTCTCTCAGAGAACGAGGCGAGCTTGTATCCCTTATGGTTCCTGGCTGCCCTACCCTTGCCTCTTCAGTTCACTCTCCCTTATTTTCTTACTTTCCCATTGTTTCCAGGCCTTTCTCCTTTCTGACTGACGTTTTTTGGTCAGTCTTTTTTATCTATCCTTTTGCTCCCTCTGGTGAAGCACTTTTTGCTGCTACAACTGAAGTTCATTTGTGTGGTTTTTGTTTATTTTAAGTACCATGTTTCAGTGAATCTCTGAAATCGGAGTTGGGAGGGAAGCTGGTAGAGAACAGCTCTGGGCTGTGGAAATATCTTACAAGAGTCTTTCCAGTTAGAGAGGGAAGGTTGAATTGCCCAGTGCAAAAATAACTTCCCTGAATATTTCCTAAAGTTTTTATTTTTGGACATTACTCTTTCATTGCTTGTTGTCTGTATATATGCTGATATCTTGAGGAAAATTAAGGTTATTACATACTTTAATGGATTAGTTTAATCTGATTGCTCTCAGTATCTAGCAGAAATAAATTCTACTCTTTTCTCACATGTTTTATAGCGATGGAAAGGCAATTGTAATTTCAAAGCATGAAATGCCTTGGGAATTAGCACAGATCTGGGTGAGAGACACAGAGTAGAAAATAAGACAGCACTGTGAGCGTGGGATAATGGGTGTGGATCAGAAGGGGAAGTGAAAGAACGTTAAAGACAAGTATGACCACAGTACCAAAGACCAGCAACTAAAATTTACTGAGTTTTATGCCGAGCACCGTGCTTTACAGTTATTACTTTCAATGTTCTCAGCAGCCTTATGGAATTATGAATAGCACCACTTTACAAAGGAAAAACCTAGGGATTAAAGAGATTAAGTGCTTCTCCTGGTATTGTAGCATGTAGGATAGACTCAGACCCATCTTACTCTGAAGGCTAATTGCAATATTATACCTCCTGTTTATTTTTACAGCTTTCCTTAGGCTGAGCCTTTGGTAGAGAGGGAAAGGAAACTTTCTTCTTTCCTTCCACAGCACTCTTTGCACAACCTTCTGCATTTGTGAAGACCCAGAGTGCTGTAAATCTTAAATACAGTTAAACTGCTTTATAACTTAAGTGAGTTTTATAGGCTAGCCATTTAAAATTTTATTTTAATTATGAAATGGTTAACTTTCCATGAAGCAAACTTTTAAGTTACAGTATTGTTCTGTGTATTTCACTGGCATCTACTTAATCTCACAAATATACACACACTCACGCACTCACACTNGTTACAGTATTGTTCTGTGTATTTCACTGGCATCTACTTAATCTCACAAACATACACACACTCACGNAGCAAACTTTTAAGTTACAGTATTGTTCTGTGTATTTCACTGGCATCTACTTAATCTCACAAATATACACACACTCACGCACTCACACTCACACACACACACACACAACCATGTTATATAGCAAGCCCTAAAATTAGTATCAAACATTTTAACCTACAATTTCCTAAACTTAATGATATTGCCATATTGCAAAATTTTTCATATCAAAGTTATTTTCTTAAAAAAGCTGATATTATAGTTTCACGTAATTAATAGTACCTGTTTTTTGAGGGAAGGGAATGAGTACCTTAAACGGTGTAAGAAAAATCAATACATCATACCCAATAAAACCCCAGACCTGAAGGGAAAGTAAAATAATTTAAGATTCATTACATATTACTGGATTTTTTTCTTTGGATTAGAATTAAGTAAGTATTCAAGGGTTTTTTGAGGTACTTGTATAATTTGAGTTCCACAAAATGAAAGGTTCTTATTTAGGATAGTTGACACGTTGTGTAACATATTTGTTTCCTTTGCTGTAAAAGAGAACTCTAAGCCTAGCTGCTTTCTGTTCTTCTCACCAATGACATATTAGGTTACATAAAAGCCTTCTGAGGGCCAAAATAATGAAGTAAGTGTTGAAAAGTTGGTGATGTGAAAGAATACTTGAGGAAATGACTTTGAAGGTCATTACTAAAGTGATTTAGTGGATAATAGGACATTGTTAATATCCCTTAAGTAGTGTGAAGAGCTCCTAAAACACCTGAAATGTAGGTTCTTACCCATTTTCAAAGTGTGTAGATAGAATGAGCTGCAAGCTGAAGGTTGGGGCACACTGGGAAATGTGCTACCCGGACTGCTCACATCTCAGTCTTGTAACACATGGGCTCTGTGATGTGTGCTATTTGGATACTACCTTCCTCCAGTTCCTAAATGGGAAGGAGCATGGTCAGCCAAGGTGGGGCTCGATTAGCTTGAAGAGGCATCTGGTTTCATAATGATCTAAATATTGTTATAGCTGTCTCTTTTCTGCATAGGCTTGAGACTTGGAGAAGAAATATAGAAAATAGTGAAAGTGCTAACACATTTTTTTTCCTACTTAAACAGAAAATTAAGCCTTTTAGTTTTTATTTGCTGCCAGAGACAAGTAAGTGCCACATTACCCTATTTTACACCATGCTGAAAAATTTAAAACAGATTCCATAAGTGGAAATAAGAATATTAATAGTAAACATGATTATGTAAATATACATTACCATTAGCTAAAGGGTGTAACTCTTCTGTTCTATTTTAAATTAAATGAGAGCAAAGTATGTGTAAAAGACTTTTCATTACACACTTAATAATTATGTATAATAAGAAAAGCAGCAAACTTATAGCTAATCATGATATTCATTGGAGCAATCATTTTATTTCTTCTTCTGTGCTGTAAACTCATGAAATATTCCAAACTAATGTGCAACATTATGTCAAACAAAAATCTGTATTCCACATGAAAAAAAACTGTCACTGGAAATCATATAAAGTGATTTATGTGTTACCAAAAAAATCACATAATTTACTTTTTATATTGCTTTACATGCTACAAAGCACTTTCTCATAAATATTGTTCTGTTAGAGTCCCTTTTAGCCCTTTGAAGTATAGAAGGCATGTAATACTGTTATCCAGGTTTTTATTGATGAGGAAAATAATGCTTAGAGAGAATTCAAAACAGATTTACTAAAATCACTCAGATAAGCTAATGACAAAGGGAAGCCTTATGGCCAAGTCGTTGCATTTCAGCCTGCGGCCTGCTGGGGTTAACCAGCGGCGTAGTTTGATGTGATGGTCTGAGGTATCTGTGATATTAAGATCTGGAACTCTCAGCAGATTCTCTCTTGTCACCCTGTCACACAATCTACCTAATTGTTTGGCTTCTCTGCCTCATACATCTTGATTTCTAAATCTATAAAGAATGCTTTCATTTGCATGATTTTATGGCACATCTGTTCTCAAAAACTGTAGCTCTCCATCAGTATTCTG